TAGAGTTGTAACATTAGGGTGGAAGCGATGTTTGGGGACAGGGAGGTACCTTGTGTGTTGGAGCATATGTGAGTAGAGAATCTGGGGGTACTTGATGCTAAGGGGTGAGCAGAACATGAGGGGTCAAAAGCTGATATGTTTGGGAGGAGGGGTGCTTGATTCTGTGTGACCCATTCTCTTAGCTGGAAACTCTGTTAAAGGGCTTGTTAAACTCTGAGGTCGCCTGGTAACCAGATATGGTGACAGGTGGATTAGATGTATACAGGGAGATTTAGTGAAAGAAATTAGTTAATATTCATAATAATCTTAATCCTGGTGTTTCGTTCTTGTTATCTTATTTGTCAGGCTTTGCTATGAAATTTAATGACTTGGAAATTCTGGTAGAAGAGTTTTACATGAGAAATAAACTTTTTTTTTTTACTTCCCCGAAGCAGGTTTGAGACATACCACTTGCAGCAGGTGGACCAAAACCATGATGCGCCTTTCTGTGTTTTGAGGTTTGTCCAACATTTCTCTCTGTGTGGCTGCTGGGTGATTTGGGTAGGTGAGTACAGCCAAAGACATCTAGAACAACAAATGAAATTAATAGACACCCCCCCCCCAGCATCTACAATTGATTGGTTTATCTCTACAGAGACGAAGGGAGACTCTATTTGAAGTCAGAGCAGATGTGGATCATGTTTGTATATGGATGAGTATCAGTATTTCTTCTGCAGAAGCAAATCCTCAGGTGAGTTTTGTGTAAAGTTTTTATAAAAATTCTTTGCCTTTAATATTCACACTGTAGAAGTGTATGCATCTGAGCTTTGAAGGCTCTGGGGCTGTGATTGTTGCTCCATAAATATTGAAACCGTCTCTAAATATTTACCGAGCAGTTCACCTGTTACAGATGCAATAGAGTGGGCCAGTCTAGATGGTTTAGGGGCAGAGCAACGTGCTATCATATTGGGGAAGCTGAGTTCAAGACTAGTTTCAGCCTATTTCTTCCCTGGCTGGGAGCATGGTGACCTCATCCCCACCAAAAGTGGCTTTCTGGAAGGACTAGCCTCCAGCCTTCCCTCACTAGAGGGACAGGTCAACCAACTACAGGGAGATGAAGTGGGGAAGTAATGGGGAAGTTTCCTACAAAGAAAGATGCTATATAGTCCCCATTTACCAAAGGGGACACTGGGAGGTTCCCAACATGCTTGACAGCTGTTTCATGGTCTAAACTGGGGTGATTCCACTTGGATAAACTGGGTCCTTCCATCACCTCCTTTATTTCAGACAGTTCTGTTTTTATCCACCCTTGTTCCTCTGCCCTTCAGAACTCTCTATAGATGCTAATTAAAGCTGATGTGGGAACATGATGAGCTGGTGGGGGTGAGGCGGAGGTTTGGAAGTAGGAGAGGCAAATGTGCTGGCTGATGGGGGTTCTGGTACCAGACCTGTTCTTGTTTTCCCCTTAACTCTGCTGCTGACACATTGCGCTTTGGCGCCCCTGTGTGCGTTGTACTTTGGCGCCAATCTCATGCTCTGTATTCTGTGGACACCTCATTTCCTCTGTCTGAAGGTGGGCACAGCCTGTCCAAACCAAAGCAGGTCTCTTGGAGCGATGCAGGGAATTGCCCTTCCATGCACACCTGCCCTGGGGCTATATGTTGTGTCCATATCACTCCCGGCTTCCTAAACTCACTTGCTGCATGTAGTCTAACATCCAGGTAACTCCTTCCTTTCCCTCCCCCGAACTCATCTTTGTGGAAGGTTGCAAAAATGTTCGGTACAGCACAGTCATCCAAAGCCCAGTTCCTCGATAAAGCGCGTCAGGCCCGTGAGGAGCGGAGAGAGCTGAAAGAGAGAGAGAGAGCCGCCATTCAGATCCAAGCCCTGATCAGGAGGTTTCTTTGTCGATGCTGGCTGCAGAGGGAGATCAGGTGTGTGAAATTCCACCCCACGGGCTTTGTTGCTTGTTGCGAACTGAGCTCTTTCTGTAGACTACTGGCTTTTTAAAATGCTCAACATTTGATTCCTCCTCCTTCCCAGGAGAGAAGTGGAGGATTTCTTTGAAATAAATGAATCTGCTTCCAGTAAAAGAAGTGCACTTTCCATCTTCAAAATTTCCAGGAAATTGCTGTTCATTTTCAGAATTAAAGAGGACAAAGAGGTAAAGCTGCTGCTCTGACGCATTTCCCCCCTCAGATTAAAAATGTGTAATGTATTCTATATGTTTAATATGTATGAGCTGTTACTTGGCTTGTCAAATGGGTTGCTACAACATGGAGGGTTCAGAGAGTGACCTTGATTTCCTTTTGTCTTGTAATGCCATGGTGAGGACAGTGGGGAGGCAGCAGGACGGACTGCTGAGAACTCCTGAGTTCTAATCCTGGCTCTGACACTCAGTTAATTTGAGCAAGTCATTTACTAATACACCCACTGGGCCAGGTAGCTCCGGTGTAAAGCACCACCACACTCAAGCAAGAGGGTTTTGTGTGTTCCTGGGTCTCTGGTTAGGGGCAACACTCAAATAAGAACCTGAGTTAACTTTGCAGTGAAGACAAAGCCCTAATAGCCCAGCCTCAGTTTTTCTATCTGTAAAATTGAGATAATATTAATACATGCCTCCCAGGGGAGTTGTGAAGGGCAGTCAGGGGAGAAAGCACTCTGAGGATGAGTGGCCATATTAAGTTGTATTGTGTCTGTTCAGCTGTATGTTGTTGTTCCCAGTTGCCTCTTTCCCAAGCAATTTCTGTTATGTCAGGAGAAATACAAGTACATCAAATGTTGTTGTAGTACTTCTATCTGATTTTAAATGTATACTTAGTGTGACATACAGTTCCCTGAGCTCCAGCCATGTTCTCTCTCCTCCCCTGTCAGTCCTTGGTGCCACAATGTTGGTTGGCCCCTGTGTTACAGTAACTAATTACCTCATTGAAGTGTCACCCCTAGGAGTAAACTGATTCCTTCTCAGGCCAAGGAGTAATCTGGATTCTTTTCCATTCTGCTTCCTGAGAATCCTGGGAGTGATGTCATAGAGCCTAGAGTGGTTGGAAGTCTCACTGTGTAACTTGCAAGCAAGGCAAATGTAATCAAAATCAATCTGTAATCTAAAAGGGAGCAATGATATATATCAATGGGTTTTTCCTTCCTCTTAGGACACCGGTATTAGCCACTGCCAAAGACAAGATGCTGGTCTCAGTGGAGCTTCCGTTGCTTCTAGTGTGCAAGGCCTTTGCTTCCCGTAATCTGCCGTTGTTAACAGTTTTCCCCAAGTAACTGACTGTACTTGTGGGGAAGTACACTAACATGTGTCTCTCTTTCTTTACAGAGGTTTGAAAAGTTGTGTCGCTGTATCCTGAATAGTATGGATGTGGAGAATGAGCCCAAGGTCAGCAAGTCAACTTCGTTAGGGGGATTTAGGTTTATTTTTTTAAAAGTTCACTAATCTGAAATATCAAGAGTGAGAGAGACTCAGTGTCACTTATATTCCATGGTGGATTGTTTTGATATGTTGATAAACCCCATAGAAAAACCCAGGATAGCTCCATGGACCCATAAGGGTCAAAAGGGCATTTCCCGCATGGTACGATTTACAACTGACCTAGTTATTACGGGGGCGGGGTAATTCTGGTCCAGTGCTGGGATCTGCATGGCCCGTGGAAGTAGTTTTATTACACCGCTTCTGGGCTTGTATGCTGGATAAGCAACAGAGCAGAAAAAGTTACCACAAATTTCTCCTGTTCTTTGCCTGTAGGTGTGGTATGTGTCATTAGCACTTTCTAAGGATCTTACACTCTTGTGGATCAAACAGATCAAGGACATCTTGTGGTTTTGCTGTGAGTTTCTCAAACAGCTTAAGGTAAAAATCTTTCCTTGGTTTTAGCTCTGTGTGTCTTGTGGTTTCACACTTTAGTGTTGTAGACTTGGTTTATTAATGTTGATGTTCTTGTTATTCCAGCCTGACATCCTACAAGACTCTAAACTGGTCAATTTGCACCTCACGATGCTTGTTACCTTCACAGACACTTCCACGTGGAAAATACTTCGGGGAAAAGGTCTGTGTGGCTCTTTCCAAAACCCTGTTGTAGTCACCCATCCAGACCTTTCTTCTCTCTCTTTGTTTCAAAGTCTTCCAGCTTGGGCTGCAGAAAGGGGATATTTTTCTTCTCTTGTATGCACTGCCAAGCTGTATGATTATGATAATAGAAGTTTGTCATAATTTACAATGTCTGACCGCAGTTCATATAGATTATATGACACACAAATAATTCTCAGAAATGTCATTATTTTGTCCTCGTAGGAGAAACCCTGCGACCTGCCATGAACCACATCTGTGCAAATATCATGGGACATCTCAATCAGAAGGGATTTTATTCTGTGCTGCAGGTTTGTTAGTGATTAGAATAGTTGATGTGCTTTGCAAACCCTGCAGTGTTTTCTGCCTTAACTAAGTTCTAAGTTTCTCCGGACGTGTTGTTTCATGTTTGGGTTGGGTATGTATTGGCAGTGACTCTCTCTGAGAATACTTTGTTTATGGTCGGTGTGACGTTCCCCTCTGGTGTTATCCGGGCCGGTGATCTGCTAGGGTCACTCCAATACTTGACTCTGGGAGGCAGCCTTACCCCGCTCTGCTGTGAGAACCCCCACTCCTGGGCTGTTCACGCACAGCCTCTGGCATGTAAGCTGCTCCCAGCTACTTGCAACCAAATGACACTAGCCAATATCTCCGGTCCCAGACACAACCCTGGGAACCTCCATCTTGTAGTGTCCAGTTATGCCCGCTGGATGCTGCAAGCTTGTCTGAGTCAATTTAAGAAAGAAATTGATATGTACCAGGCTTGTTATCCCAAGGGGAGCCTCTGACATGCTTCAAACCAAACGCACGGCTTCAGGTAGAATAAACAAACAGATTTATTAACTATAAAGATCGATTTTTTTAAGTCAGATTTGGTCAAATGAAATAAAAGCAAGATGCATTCTAAGCTGATCTTAACACTTTCAATGTCCTTACAAACTTAGATGCTTCTCACCACAGGCTGGCTGGTTGCTCTTCAGCCAGGCTCTCCCCTTTGATCAGCGCTTAAGTTGCTTGGTGTGGTGTCTGTAGATGTAGGTGGAAGAGAGAGTAAGGGTACGTCTATACTTACTTCCTGGTCCGGATGTAAGCGATCGATCTTCTGGGATCGATTTATCGCGTCTTGTCTAGACGCGATAAATCGATTCCGGAAGTGCTTGCCGTCGACACCGGTACTCCAGCTCGGCGAGAGGAGTACGCGGCATCGACGGGGGAGCCTGCCTGCCGCGTCTGGACCCGCGGTAAGTTCGAACTAAGGTACTTCGAATTCAGCTACGTTATTAACGTAGCTGAATTTGCGTACCTTAGTTCGAAGTGGGGGGTTAGTGTGGACCAGGCCTAAGAGCATGGCAAATGTCTCTCCCTTTTATCATGTCCTTTCTTCCCTCTTGGCTTTGCCTTCCCCCACCCTCAGAGTCAGGTGAGCAGTACCTCATCGCAGTTCCAAACTGACCAAAGGAAGGGGGGGTAACTCCCTTGAGAGTCTAACAGATTCTTTTGTTGCTGCCTAGGCCAGCGTCCTTTGTTCCTGTGAGGCTGGGCTGGGTTTGTCCCATACCTGTCCTGATGAGGTGTGAACTGCCTCTGCTCTTGGAAAGTTTTTGCCTGGGCTTATTTTAAGCCATGAGGATACATTTTCAGCCTCATAACTACATACATGAAATTATAACCTCTAACCTTACTGTAACAACAATGCTCAGTGCATCATGAGCCTTCTGAAAACAGCTGACAGGACAAACTTTGCATTGGATGCCACACAATCATTTTACAAGGATGAACATGGGGGTGCTGGGTGTTCCGCCGAGGTACAGAGCGTCACAGTTGGTAAACCAAAAAACTCACCCTCCCCTCCTTTCCGTGAGCAATATTTAATCTAACTACCATTTCATCATCTCATTAGGAGATGGAAGGCAGCAGTGCAGTGCAGCTGGTTAAAATACAGAATTAGGAGTCAGGAGTCTTGAATTCTGTTCCCAGCCCTGCCATTGAATTTGTGTGTGATTTTAGGCAGGTTTCTTCACCGTTCTGTGCCTCACTTTTTTCCATCTGTAAAATGGGGGTGTCCATCTTTCACAGGGTTGTTGCGAGGCTTGTTTATGGATTATAAAGCGCCATGAGACCCTCTGAAGAAAAGCCCTATAAAAATAGCAAGTGTGATCATAGTATACCTCTTTGAATGCAGTTTCTCTGTGCTGCCAGTACCTGGAACAGAAACGCTCTGATCCAGGCCAGTGACTTGTAACAACCACATTAAAGCAACACTCTCTCTCATTTCTTTTTATATCTTTTGAAAGTGACCATGTCCTTCAAGAACACAGTTGGATTCTTTCTCTAACAAGAGTTGCAATTTTCTTTTCAGATTTTGCTAACGAATGGCTTGGCAAGATCCAGACCATCCCTGTCCAAAGGCACTTTAACTGCAATCTTTTCTCTTGCATTGCGGTAAGGCAGCAAAAGCCGCTTGGGGAGATATGTAGCCAAAGCTGGTTTCAGTGTCTGTCTGAAGACCTCTTGCCTTGCCAGTTTCTCATTGTGTTTCTCTCTTTGTATCTGTCTGTGAGTTTGTCGTATTAGTGCATGATGCTAATTTAGGTGCAGAGCTTGATTTTTTTTCCCCCCTACTCGGTACCCCTAAAATCAAGTGTTTATAAATCAGTTATAAAGAACAGTTGTGGCGTTAAACTTGGAATGCTGTATTTCTGTGTGTTGGGTAAATAGTCTGAAGGAACGGGCCTTCTTTCTGCAAGTGTGATTCGCATCTCACAATGAACTGCCAGTGCGCCTCTAACTACATAATTATGGGTGCATGTCAGGTAGAGGTGCAGATGATCAGATCTGTGCTCGTAGTTCAATTTGCATGTGTAAATTGTGTCCCCAAAGAGGGACTGGCTAGAAACACCCCCCTGCGTTTCAAAATAAAGTTTTCACGGGACGTTCACTTGGTGTCAGACCACGGTGCCCAAGGAGCATCCCTAAAGACTTTCACGAGCTAACTCTGAACCGGTTTCCTTCCATAAGTGTCATTTCTGGGATCATGGGACAGGCTCAAGTCTGATTTTCTGATGAACATTCCAGTAAGAGTAGAGTGATTTCTCACCCTGTCCCAGACTCAAACTGGTCTTGAATCAGTCACTTAAGCTTTGCCTGAGTAAATGGGAACTACTTATTTATCTACTTCACGGGAGTGTTGTGAGGTTTAATCTAGTTAGCGTTTATGGAGCTTTTTAGAGACATGGGAGGTGCTGTGTATTATGGAATAAGACTCCGCGTTGCCTCCTGCCTCTGGCTTTCTTTGATTCCCTGGGGTCATGATGGATGTTGCTAAATCGCCATGATATCAGAAGCCATAGGGGGCTGATTCTTTTCGAACTGTCCTCTGTAATGAGAACAGAAGCAGCAGCCAGTTCTGATAGAAAGGCTGCATTTCTTAGGAAACACAAAGTGTGAGGTTTGACGTATTTTTTTTTTTCCTCTCTTCAGCCCTGTGATTGCTGCTCAGTTTTCTGACAATCTCTTGAGATCATTCCTGATCCATATCATGTCAGTGCCTGCTATTGTGACTCACCTTGCTACACTAACACCTGAGGTACGTGGGCTGCTCCATCACAGCATCCTGAGCCCTTTGGCATATCAAATATGCTGGAATTAGTCATCCGCGACTCTATAGTTACAAATAATGGCGAGTAAAGAGTTGGATCAGCCTCTTAAAAGTTGACAGTAAAATGTAATTCTTTTCTAATGGAAACACATGTTCCTCCCCCATCCTTCATAGCCTGGGCTTCGAATGCTGCGGAAGCTGATATAGCTCTCTTGAGTATTCTGTGTGCAACAGGCTCCTCAGTGAGCTCTGCAGAATTGTGCACAGCTTGAGCTGCGGTGGCGTGGGGAGCCCTAGAACAGACAGGAAGGAGGCTCTTGTAGTTAATGCTTTGGATTAGGACCCTGGAGATCTGGCCTCTTTTTCTGGTTCAGCCACTGGCTCCTTGCATGACTTAATTGTTCCAGGCCTCAGTTTCCCCCTTTGTAAAATGTCTTTTTGTGTGTATATCATGTACTCTTTGGGACAGAGACTCTTACAGAGTGCCTAGCACACCCAAGCCCTGATTTCTATTGGAGCCTCTCATCAATCTTCCCACCATGCCAATGGCTAATTGGGCTGATGCTCTTAAGGCACATCAGTTTCATAGCCTGTGGTACACAAGGGTGTGACATGGCCAGCATCACATCCAACCACCTTGACAGCCCTAACCGGATGGATCAGGTACCCATTCTGCAGCTGGGTAAACTGGAGGTGGCCTTTTGGTGTGAGATCGAACAAGACTTGACCCCACGACCTTCCTGATTGTAGTTATGCACCTTAGCCACTCAGCCACCACACCTCGTGGTACTGCTAGGTGCTCCCATAATACAAATATTAAATAACAGCAAGCCAGAATGTTATTTGTGCTGGTTTTTCAAAACTGGTTTGAGTCTTTGTTTTAGTAGCCGTTAGAGTGGTTTGCTTTGTGTTGGTATTTAGAGTGCTGTGCACATTTCTTACCAGATAAGATACTGTGGCAACAACTGATAAATGCAGAGCCTCCTCCCAGCTCAGCTGGGCATGCAGATGAATAGGACATTGTTATGGAGATTTATCCGCTCAACTCTGGACATCTCTATGGTTTAGAGAAACTGCAAGTGGCACAGTTTTGGGTGTAAATTATTACTTAACGGATTCAGCTGTGTGTGTGTGACCTGAGGCTACTCTGCGTCTCTTTGTTTTTAGGCTGGACGTTTTATTTTTTGTGTCCTTGTCCTTCCATCCCCATGGTGATTTCTGACAGGGGAGCGAATGAACAAAGAGATGCAAAATCATCTATCACATAGAGCGGGGTTCTACTGATCGCCATATTTGGCGTCGGGAAGGAATTTTCCTCCAGGGAAGATTGGCAGAGGCCCTGGAGGTTTTTCGCCTTCCTCCGCAGCATAGGGCAGGGGTCACAAGCTGGAGGATTCTCTGCGACTTGAAGTCTTTAAATCACGATCTGGAGACTTCAACAGCTGAGTTAAGGGAAAGTGGGTGGGTCAGCTTTTGTGGCCTGCATCATGCGGGAGGTCAGACTAGATGACCATAATGGTCCCTTCTGACCTTTAAGTCTATGAGTCTGAGTCTATGAGCAGGATCTTCGCTGAGCAGTGATACACTGCCCACTAATACCATGTGGTTTGTCTGCTCCCTTTCACAGCGTGGGCCGATTGCCGGTGAATTCCAGGGAATTCAGGCGTTTTTAACTGCCATAGACTCAGGACAGGTGAAGGTTATCCTTGTGACTGGTTAGAATATGCCCAGTTCACCTGCAGATCTCCCTTGAGGCAGGCTCCCCCACATGCCTGTGATCTTCTTTGTGAGATCTCTTCTTTAGCGTGATTCTCTGGCATGAAGCCTGTGCAGCCCCTGAACGCAGTGATTGCTCACAGGAATGAACGGACACCCTGAATCGCTGATGAGGTGTCAGGTCTGGTGGCTTTTGTGTGATGCTCTGTTAATTTAACTTGCAACTTCTCAATCATTTAAAAACAATTCTGTTTTTCAGCGTCTGGCAGTGCTAGAATCCCATGACCTTTTCCGCAAATTCATCTTATTTTTAAGTCGTGAGGCTCAGTGCCAAGATGTCTGCGTGTGTTTAGAAGGAAGCCATACTCTTTGTTTACTGGGTAAGCATGTGTCCGGAGTCTGAGCATGTTCCACATCAGAGGAGAAATTTAAGAGTCTTTCTTTGCTTTGAGGAGAGGGCCCCGTGGGAGTGAAATCTGAATTCCTCTCTTGGGGTCAAGGACTCTGGATTTTAAAATCCAACATTTTCTGAAACAACCATTTGGGTGGTTTCTAAAATAGCTTGCGTCATGTGTGTTTGGAAGGACACTTAACTTCAGGTTTAATGTAAGGTATAGAAATGTAGGGCTGGGAGGGACATCAAGAGGTCAACCAGTCCAGCCCCCTGTGCTGAGGCAGGACTAAGTGAACGTAGAGGGTCATGCTAAGAGACCCAGGAAACAGAAGAGGGCGGTTCAGAAAGAGACCCCTTCCTATAGATGTGTCATTTTGATCTAGCAGGAAATCATAACCTCAGCTTGCTTTCCATTTAGACACTGATACAGCAAACACGAAATGACCTGCCTACATTGATATGCTACTGAAACTTGCTGAGTTCACATCAGCTCTGTGGAAATAGTCAGAGGAGCTGTTGTAATTCATGAATGGCCTCTAGATTCTCTGTCCTGGCTACTGTTAGGAGCTCTCTATTTCATATAATGCTGCACATGAAGTGTTGGCGGGAAGCAAATGAGATGGCTATGGGAGGATATCCTGCGCTAGCACAGAGCATCACTTTGGTGTGGGAAGTGTGTGCTGGAAACTGGGCTGAAACCAGGGACTGCTCTGAAAAGAGTCAATGAACAACCATCAGAGAACAAGAGACAAATTTTGGTCACTGGACAACTGAATTGGATCTGAATCTCTTTAAGGAATGGTTCTGGAGGCTTAATCCAAACCCTGTGTGAGTGAGGGCATTGTCAGTGAAAACACTGTATTCACTGAGCGTCATTGACTTTGTAGATTTTTATGGATTCCAAGGCCAGAAGGGTCCATTGTGGTTGTCTAGATGGATCTCTTATGTACGGCCATAGAGCTTCCCCAAAAGAATTCCTAGAGCAGATCATTTAGAAAACCATCCAGTCTTGATTTAAAAAGGGTCAGTTATGGAGAATCCATCACAACCTTTGGAAAGTTATTCCAATGGTTAATTACTCTCACTGTTACTTGCACCTGCTTATTCCAGACCTGAATTTAGCCTGGTTTCTCTAACCCATTCAGTCCCCCAATTCGTTTTAAGACATAGGACCTCAGTGATTCTCCAAAGTTAACATCAAAGTCAATGGGGAATTTTGCCCCTGAATTCAGTGGGAGCAGGATGCAGCCCATACTGATGGTTTTTACAATTACCCTTTCCTGCTGTCACTACTGAAGGCCCTGAGTCAGTGTTGCGTTAACAAATAAACAAGGAGGGGATTATGAACAGACTGGCCGGAGCATTGGGAGCAGACGGGTGGGATACGGCCCTGCACTGGTGAGGAGTGAAGAGGTGGTGGAGAGAGACTGATCTCAACCCCCTTCTGTCTCCAGTAAAGGTCTCATACTAATTCTCATACAAATGTCGCTCCTCTTCAAAGGGCTGCTGCTGATTCTTTTTCAGGTAACCTCATTTATCTGGGCTCCTTGAATGACAAAGTGCTAGAGGACGAGACTGCTCACTTTGTGAGCGTGCTTATCCACATGCTCTCTTACTGCCAGAAGTATGTGTCGCAAAAGAAATCCAACCTCACGCACTGGCACCCTGTCCTTGGCTGGTTCTCCCAGACTGTGGATTATGGGTAAGTGAGCAGGATCTCTGAGACAAGTAACTCTGAGATTTAATTCACAACTTGGCCAGGTTACACATGCAGTACCTTCTGTCACTGTCAGGATGGACAGTGTGGCCACCGTAACGCCTTGCATGTCCTGAGTTGTATTTTAATTGTGCAACCTTAACACTGCATTCATATGCAGCTTGTTAGATGTGATAGACAGGTTGTAACAATGGCTTTATCTCTTTCTCTCCCTTGCCCCTGACTTTTCTTCTAGGTTAAATGAGTCCATGCCTCTGCTCACAAAGCAGTTGCAGCATCTCTGGGGAGTCCACCTAATTCGCATCCTCTTCAGTGATGTTCTCAGCAAGAAGCTGGTGGAGACTCAGGAGCCGACTTATCTGTCGGGGCAAACTGCTTCCCCACAGAACAGCCTTCCCATGAAAAGTCAGTTCAGTACGGGCCAGGGCCTGGGCTCTGTGTCTTCTCTCTCTTGCTGGCAGAAGTTTGACTTTCTTCCCTTTAGTCAAAGGCTTTGAGTAGTTTTTTGCAGCACCTGCTATTACCTAGCTAGAGGCAAGTTCTTCCTGGGTTCTGATCCCTGTTCTGATTACACTGTGACGTTAGTAAGTCACTTATCTTCTTGGGGACACTTGCCTGTTTCCAAGCAGGGTTTGAATTGTTTCTCAAGTGGTCTGAAGATGAAAAGCACGAGGTAATCCTTACCACTGTTACTGGGGGGGTCTCCGTACCTTACAGTGGTTGGATAGTATCCCAGCTTCACAGGTGGAAACTGTGGCACCGCGAGGTTAAGTGACTTTCCCATGATCTCACAGAGAATCATTGGCAGAGCCTGGATTATAGCTCTGGAATTTCTAGGTCACAGTCTCTTACTCTAACCCCCTATAATGTGCTGACTCAGTCTACTGTAGATATGTGCTAGATATTATAGCACAACTAGTGATTCCTATTACATTTGGGTAACGTTTGAAACTAGAGAATGACTTGTGAATGATCCCCGTGTCACCAGAGAACGTCTTGGTGTTTATGGAATGGAGAATGTTCCTATAAAGCATTGTGCCATGGGGAATTCACAGAAATCTGCAGTTCTGTGGCATGAGCCACTCAATCGGTTACTGTCCTTACTAAAACCCCCATTGTTATGGGGCTGCACGGTGACCCAGGATAAGACTTCACCTGGTGATGAATGTCTCCGTCTCCAAGACCTGAGTGCATGTCTCCCCTTATCTCCCACCAGATCTTTTCAAGCGAGCCTTCCAGAAGTCCGCCTCTGTCCGCAACATCCTCAAGCCAGTTGGAGGCAAGCGGGTGGATTCAGCAGAGGTGCAGAAGGTTTGCAGCATCTGTGTGCTGTACCAAACCACGCTGACGACTCTGACGCAGATCCGGCTGCAGATACTCACAGGTCAGTGGGGTGCGGGGATGTGGGTTTTTGTCTTTTCTTCAAAATACCTTTTAAAATCCAGGGGGGTGGAATCTTCTAAAGATCTAAACTTGTGCCTCTCACTGATTCTTTTGACTCTGCTGGTAGTTGTATTACACAGGGCTGTTTATTGACCCGCTGGATGCAAAGCTTGTTCTATCCTGGATCATGTGTCTGATCAATAGCATTCATCGCTGCTGTATCAAACGTTCGCTCTCTAGAATACAAATGAAAGCAAGTTCTGCTCCATTGAAACCCGCTCACTTCTTATTGACTGAATCTGGCTCAATGTCTTTGAATAATACCCAGTAATACCAGTCTTTATGTGGTGGTCCCGTTGAGTGCTTCCGTTATATTCAGTGTTCCCTCTAATTTTTTCCATCCATGTGTGGAATGAATTTTGTGCATCATATCGAGGTAATGTGCGGATGTGCACCACCAGTAGAAACCAAAAACCGAGATACAATGTATATTTTTAAAAAGTTACCATAGGGTTCATTACTCCAGGCAGGACAGGTTAGGCATTTTAGAACTCACTGCTCAAAGAATTAAATTTAAGTGTAAGAGAGAAATAAAAATTATGAAATGCACAGACCAGTCAAAAAACTAAAATAACACACTTGGAAAGAAGTATCAAGAGGTAACAACAATACAAGTATGTGTTGGGTGGTGTGTGTGTGTGTGTCACAGAGAGATACACCGTGTGTGTGTATATGACAGAGATAGACGCGTGTTGTCCCTTTCAGTACCCTGATCCCACTTTAAGTACGTTGCCCTTTTAAGTAGATCAGCACGTTCAGATGCAGCAGCAGCTGCCAGCAAGCTCCCTGTGTCCTAAGCCCTGTCGTGTGTTGTCCCCCCTGCTCTGTGGAGATGGGGTGGAGGGAGGGGAACACCTTGACATCAACACCCCTCTCCTCCTCCTCTCTTCACCCCTCCCCGCTCTGCACAGCAAGCAGGAGGCTCCTGGGAGCAGCTCTAAGGCAGAGCGCAGGGGCAGCACACAGCAGTGGGAGGAGGGACAGCTGAACTGCTGGCACTTGATAGCCTGCTGGGCAGCCACCCAGCCACGCGGTTTACAGGGAACTTAGGTTATATTAAGAACAAATTATTCCTCTTACCACCTCCTCCCTCCTTTCTAGTAAGCCATCACTGGTCTAGTGGCTAGAACAGGAAACTGGGAGTCCAGACTCCTGAGTTCTGTTCCTGGCTCTGCCGTTGACTCTGTGCGACCTTGAGCAACTTGCATGACCTTGCCCTTTGTGCCTTGCTTCCCCATCTGTACAATGGGGATCATAATGACTGCGTCACAAGAGGCTTTGTTAACTGATGCTTGTCCAGTGCTGTGAAATCTTTAACTGAAAGGTGCTGTAGGTGTGCAAAGTATTATTAGCTAGTTAAGAGGCTTCCTTCTGGTCTCATTGTGATTGTAGAATACTTGTTCACGTGAATTGCACCCATGACCACTGTGTGACTTTCCTCTTCACCAGTAGATAGTTTTGCAAAATAAACTGTTATCTGCAACAGGTCATATTCATCTTCCCCTGCATGCAGGGAAAAGAGCTGTGTTAAGGCTTTCTCTCTTTCGTTTTCCCTCCTGTAGGCCTCACTTATCTTGATGATCTGTTGCCCAAATTGTGGGCATTTATCTGTGAGCTGGGACCCCAGGGTGGATTAAAACTCTTCTTGGAATGCCTGAACAATGACACAGAGGAATCCAAGAGACTGCTGGCTATGCTGATGCTGTTTTGTGACTGTTCTCGACACCTTATCACGTAGGTTACTAGCAGATGGCTCTTTCTACGGAAGTCGAATATACAGATTAAATGTTATTTGAGTGCCAGGGTGGAGAGCCAAAACGCTGCTGTAATTACGTATAGATAACTAAAATGCAAGAGCAAAACTGCATGCTTTGCAAAGTGTGTGTTGTGTAAGGGATGGGCGTGTGGCAGGAGAGGTAACTAGGTACTACAGCACTGGGTGCCCTAGGAATACTTTTTCTCAATGCTTGTGTGCAACAGCTGCATCTTAACACAGGGCAAATTCTTCAAAGGCACACATCATGCTATAAGAAGAGGCATTGTCTGGCTGGCAGGACACTCCACTGGGAGCCTATGTACCTGGGTCTATTCCCAGCTCCACTGCCCACTCACTGTGTGACCCTGTGCCACCTCCTTGCCTATGTAGAAAGTCTTCCCATCTGTAAAATGAAGATAATTCTACTTACCCACCTTGTTCAAGTGCTTTGCAATCTACGAGTAAAAAGCCCTCTAAATTGTCAGAGGGTGGAGATGGATGGCAAGAGAGAGATCACTTGATCATTACCTGTTAGGTTCACTCCCTCTGGGGCATAGGGTGACCAGACAGCAAATGTGAAAAATCGGGACAGGGGTGAGGGGTAATAGGAGCCTATATAAGAAAAAGACCCCAAAATTGGGACTGTCCCTATAAAATCGGGACATCTGGTCACCCTACTGGGGCACCTGGCATGGATCACTGTCAGCAGACAGGATACTGGGCCTTTGTTCTGACCCAGTACGGCTGTTCTTATGTTCTAAATGTGATACTGTATTGGGTGTAGTTTATTTCTCAGACTTTTTGTGCTGTCTTATGTTAAACTCAGATATTGATCAAAATCAGTAAATACATACTATTGGTTTAGGGGTTTAGCTCCTGTTTTAGTCACCACAGGAAATGAGAACTCCCACTAAACGTGCCAGGCAAAGTGCACTCTCTGCACGCCCTCTCAAAAGGGAAATAAACCAACATTTGTTTTCCTCCTCCAGAATTCTTGACGAAATTGAAGTCTATGAAGAACAGATCTCATTCAAAGTGGAAGAGCTAGTTACCATCTCCTCTTTCCTCAATTCCTTTGTGTTTAAGATGATCTGGGATGGAATTGTGGGTAAGTGCGTCAGCCGCTTGATTGAGGGGACCACGATAATTATTTTAAAAAGTAGTAGTGAATCGATTAATCCAGAGGCTTCAGCCAGTTTGCTAGTATGACTTGAATGCTGTGCACAGAAAGTGTTACAAATTCTTAGGATGTTTGAAATGAAACTATCCCCCATTCAGCTGTTCAGATACCTATGCCATGTTGGGGTACCATATAAAAACCAGCCAGTCAGTGTTTTATTAAAGTATGAATTTATGGGGCATCATTTTCAAAACCTGCATCTCTTCAAAAACCTGCTACTTCAGCTCTGTGAGGTTTCAGAGAAGAATATACTCCAGCTTTGGGGTAAATCTGTGCCGAATCAGAAGAAGAGTGTTGGATACCCATACCTGGAGCGTGTCGATCTAAGTGTGTTTACCTTTTGCTGGTGCTGGTTGCAGTAGCTAGTAACAAGGCCAAGGGATTCAAGCCTGGATCCTGGCAGATGTTGGGCACTTCTTGTGAGAGAGGCTGAGACCCTTCAATTCTAAAGCCAGTGGAAGTGGAGAACACTTAGCCCCCTTTGTTTGTGCTGGGGAAAGGAGTGGCTCTCTGCTTCGTGTCGGTCACTGGTGTGTAGGAGGCCCTGAATGCTACTTCCATGTTTGTCTTGTAGAGAATGCCAAAGGCGAGACGCTGGAGTTGTTCCATTCTGTTCATGGCTGGCTGATGATCTTGTATGAAAGAGACTGCCGCCGGCGCTTTGCTCCTGAGGACCACTGGTTGCGAAAGTGAGTGCTGGATCCTCATGCTGGGTCATAGAATATCAGGGTTGGAAGGGACCTCAGGAGGTCATCTAGTCCAACCCCCTGCTCAAAGCAGAACCAATCCCCAGACAGATTTTTACCCCAGATCCTTAAGTGGCCCTCTCAAGGATTGAACTCACAACCCTGGGTTTAGCAGGCCAATGCTCAAGCCACTGAGCTATCCCTCCCCCCTTATAAGGCAACACGGGGAGTTGATCCCAGGATCTCCTATTTACTAGACAGGTGCATGTACGATTGTATGGCTTTTGCAGCACAGCGACTCTTGTCTTGACCATTTTGGACGCTGTCGCTTTGTTAGACATGGAACTTCCTTATTGTTCTTCTCTGCCAGCCCCAGGCCAGGGTTATTCCCTACGCTCCATTTGCCTTGTTTAATTTAAAGTCCCTGGTGATGGCACTTCCCTCTCTTCTGTAGAGCGATTATTCTCAGTATCACTTGTACAGGGTACAAATTTCAAAAGCACCCAGGTCCCATTTTCAGAAGAGATTTAAGCTCCGAAATCTCTTAGGTGCTTTTAAAAATGTTATCCTCACTGATTTTGCCAAGCCCTGTTTTCTCTGTGTGTTTCTCAGGGAACTCTGAATATGTGTCTTGCTTTTTCAGGGACCTCAAACCCAGTGTGCTCTTCCAAGAGCTGGACAAAGACAAGAAGCGAGCTCAGCTGCTCTTGCAGTACATCCCGCATGTCATCCCCCATAAGAACGTGAGTGAGACCTGGCAGGAGGGCTTTGAGTGCTGTATGCCAGGAGAGTGGCTGCCTTGCTACTGCCCATCCTGTGGGTGAATGAAAGGGACTTGAGTCTCCAAGGTTTTCCAGTGCTGAATTCACACCCCAAAAGCCCATTTAAAAATACAGGGGATGCAGCTTATTAGCAATCTCTCATTTCCCAGCAAAAAGTTGCTAATAACCAAAGGTTGGCCATAGGCGAAAGGCCCATGCCTGAGACAGCAGTGTGGGGCAGCCCGTGGCCAGGGACTGGCTGCCCGACAGGAGGTAATGCAGGAGTCCCAGTGCTGCAGAGTGGGAGGGCAGGGCTGCAGCCTGGATGCTGGGGTTCTGCCCGGGGAGTGAAGGTGCCAGGGGGCCCACAGGGCTGTACGGTATTTCTCCCTGCACTCTCTGTGCTGCTCCCTGCCCTGGCACCGGGAGCCCAGGCTTGGCACATCCCAGTGCTTCCTTCCCTGGCTGCACCCACACAAGCCTGCCCATGGACGGGGCTCTCCATGTGAGTGGAGGCTCTGGGATGTGCCAGGGTAGGGTGCAGCCCAGAGAGCACAGGGAGAGGTGCTGTGTGGGCCCCCAGCAAAGCCCCAGCTGCAGCTCAGGGGCCAAGCTCTGCATATCCAGGTGCTGCTTTCCCTAGTTGCAGCCCTGCAAACATGCCTGCAGCTGGGGCTTTTCACCGCGACTGGGGGGAGTCGGGGGCCCGCCAGGCTGCATGGCAAGAAAAAAGGTGTCAGCAAGAGGCCTGACAGTTGCTAATATCCAAATCTCATTAACATTAAAGTCAGTGGAATGGGATCAGTTCTCAGCAAAATGTTGCTAATAACTAAAATTTGTCAATATCAGGATCGCTAATAACCAGCATCCACTGTAGCTCCATTGTGTTAAAGGTCTCTTCTTTACCATTAGAGAGGTCTTGTTTGTGAAGGAAGGTCCTTCATCCCTGCTGATTCAAGCGGGCAGCAACGCCCCATTTGGTGGCAGGACTCAGCCCAACGGGCAGGGTATATGCAGACCTACCAAGCTGTCCCTTTCTAGACTGCATCACGCTGGATCCGGCATTCAAGGGAGGCCTTTCCTCTGCGCAGCCATTATGTACGCTAAGTGGGAACCTTCCTGAATAAAACACAGAAGGTTGTCTCTTAATTATGTGGAGCATAATGTCAAAAAAGGTATCATGGGCTAGATCCCACTTGCCTTATGTGGGTAGGTGTTGATAACTTCAATGGGTCTGCTCACGTGAGTAGAGCAAGTAGGATTTAGGCCTGGGTATAATTTTCTTTAGCTAAATTTTCCCCTTTACACTGCAGATGGTTGTGAAAGCAGCAGTATTTATCTGCTCCATTTGTCTCTGTCTAGTACTGAATATCCATCCAGGTGGGTGAGCAGCATGTGTACCTTTCACGAGGTGCAGTGCAGAGATTTATTACCCTGACGCTGTTGGTCTCTCTTGGATTTCTTTTTTAGAGGGTTCTTCTTTTCCGAAACATGGTGACAAAGGAGAAGGAGAAGCTTGGGCTGGTTGAAACCAGCTCTGCATCACCTCACGTCACACACATAACTATCCGCCGCTCACGCATGCTGGAGGTGAGTGGCTCGGCCCTCGGAAGCAAATCTACCAGCCAGGAACCTGGTTTTGTTGGTGACTGTGCTGTGAATGAGTGGTTCAGTGCTTGCCCGGGTCTTGATCTAGTACCTCTGTGGGGCCCTTGCCATAGTATCTGGGCATGTTTAACAATAGAAATAGCAACAGTGTCTTTCTTTTGGTTCTCTGCCAGCCTGCAGGAGCATTCTGAGTGTGTGTTTGTTTTGTGTCTGCCTGTGTTTGAAGGGACGGCTAAGGCCAAAGAATGAGTTGGTATCCAGTTCCAAACGCAGCCAGATTCCTGATCATTCTTGTGTCTGTGAGTTCCACTGCCTAGGCCCCGCTCCTGGGAAGTTCTGTTTCGTGCACTCATGAGCCTCCTACTGTAACGCTCGGGGAAGGGCGTGAGCGTGGAGATCACTCTAGATATGAAGAGCTGCAATAACTGAGTGTGGAGATTTCTGAATGCGTGGATCACCTTGCCCGGGTCTGGGCCTGGGAGAGCACCACTTTCTGGCCAGTTGCAGATGGGAGTGGACATATTTTGCCACCCTGAGTGTTTGGGCATCCATTAGTAGTGGGGAGTCCCAGCGCCACGGGCTGGCGTAGCAATCTGAGAACAGATGCTGGGGGGAGGAGGCAAGTTCTTCAAAGTGCTTCCTTTGTCCTCTCCGCAGCACCTCAGACTTGCGTGGGTTCGCTTAGCCAGCTGCTCTTCGTCTAGGTGCTGATGAGGCTAGGCTCTGGGCTGTCTGGGAAATGGTGCTGTGTGTGTTGGATAGGATGGACGCTAGCGCGGGGTGTCCTGTTCCTTACCGGGCTGAAGGTTAACTAATAAGTGCCTCAGAAGATCCAACCCTGGGTGAAATGGTGAGCTCAGGCCCAGGCTGCGCTGCGTCCCAGACACATGCTTTGTACAACTCCGGAAGCCGAAAGGATTGAAAGGTGGAGTCAGCATTGTTTATGCTCATTTCCATTTTCAATAGATTAGGGCTCGTTCTCTTTGCTGTCATGTATGCATCTTATTTAGAAAGCTCCTTCAGGCACCAAAAACTCTTCCTTCCCTAGTGGAGACTCTGGTAGTGCTGCCCGTTTTTTCCATTAAACTGTAACAAACTGTGAAAGTTTCCCTTTTATGCCTTGATCAGACCCTGGGACTTGACATCCATCTGTGTTCTATACACGCACTGCTCCTTTGCTGAGTGATCCAGTGCATATTGACGGGTTTGCAGCTAGATGTCAAACTCTGATCGCTATGAGAGAGAAAACATGCCTGCGTAGTCATGCAGCAGCATATACCCCCTTTGGAGCATGGGGGTCAGCAGAAACCTGCTCGATTCTGGGGCTGGTGGTATCTCTTGCCTTCACCTGCAGTAACGGACGGAGCACTCCGCTCAGGATCTCCTCAGCCAACAGATTTTTTTTTTTTTTTTTTTTACCAATTTCAGTTGCGATTTTCTCACATATTTATTACTGACTTAGCTGCGTCCCCGCATTTCTCTCACCTGAGTCAGGGTCTGTTCAAATGTGCCATGTTCTCATGTACTGGAGCAGAGGCCTGGAGGGACGGGCCTAGGGCGTGCAGACCCAGACCACTCGGTTGCTTTGGTTCTTTACTTCATGCTCCCTTGAATTCACATTTGTGCTAGAATCTCACTAACTGTAGGATTTGCTGTCTTCTCTAAGGCACAAGTCTCTTATTTGTCTGTTAGTTAGCACATGGACAATAAGATAACGTATAATTGATGCTGTGCTACACTAAAAAAACTCTCTGCATTTGTCAAACAAGAGTTTTAGCATAGCTGCTGAATAATCATTTCAGTTCTCTTGTCTCCTGCTTTATTCCTTTGTCCCTTGACCCTCTTGTTGCCTCTATAGGTAAATGCTCTATAGGTAACTGTAGTGTGTGGTGTGTAAAGCTGTAATTGTGTATATATACACCATAATACACTAGCTGTGGTGGTTTCCCTTTCCACACAACAGCACAATGAGTTTTCCCATCTCTGAAATGCTGCTTCAAAGAGGAGGCAGATTTTTTCCCAGGAATCCTGGATGTGGTGACTTCCAGTCTTTGTATGAAACAATATGTTTAGGAAACTTAGCACGTTGCTATATCGTGTTAATGCCACAGATTTGGGGGTCAGAACAAAGAGTTTGCCACTGTCTTTGTGGATGTGAACTCCCACGTACCATGCCGGTATACCATTTATATCCCAGTGCACACACCTGTCAGTGTTGCACGTTTGTGAAGACGTGTGTGTCCTTCTGCATGGCTAATGTGTGGCAATTCTTACCTGGGCAGGATGGATACGAACAACTAAGGCCGCTGACCCACAACCTCATGAAGGGAGTTATCCGAGTGAAGTTTGTGAATGACCTGGGTGTCGATGAGGCTGGTATTGATCAAGATGGTGTTTTCAAAGAGTTCTTGGAAGAGATCATAAAGAAGGTGTTTGACCCTGCACTCAACCTCTTTAAGGTACTGATGCTGAGCTGCAGAAATAGGCTCTGACCACCTCCCAGTCTGAAATGACCAGTGAAAACTGGCTCTGGTTGTTCACAATACTGATGTCTTGTCTCATCATTTTGTTTGTGTAGACGACCAGTGGCGACGAGAGGCTGTATCCATCCCCGACATCCTACATCCACGAGAACTATCTCCAGCTCTTTGAGTTTGTGGGCAAAATGCTTGGGAAGGCTGTGTATGAGGTAAGCCACAGGAGGCCAGCACGTGGACGTCTCCCGCTTTGGGGTAGCGTTGCCTGCACACACCTTGTCACAGCCCTGGGGATGTGCAGGCAAACTGTAGGAGGGCGTTGCATTCTATTGGTGTGCTCCGGCAGGGTGAGGGGGGCAGAATGGCCTAGAGGAATGATGTATAAGAGTAATGCCGTCTTGCAATAGACCTGTTGGGCTGGGACTCTCAAAGGGAATTAGGTGCCCAAATCCTACTGACATTCAGCTCCCTTGGCCTCCTTTGAAAATGCCAGCTTTGATGGCCTTGCTTCGTGCAGGTTAGAGCCATAGGAGACCAGGAGATCTGACCTCCCATATGTCTCAGGCCATTGGATTTCACCCAGGTACCCCTAGATTGAGCCCAATGACTTTAGTTAAACCAAGGCATTTTAGTCTTCAAGGGACGCTGAACTGTTGTGTGCCACAGGCAGAGATCAGGGGAGACAGGTGCCACCAGTGCCCGAGGCCCCTGCAATGGCAAGGGAGTGAGTAGGTGAAATATGCCTAAATATCCAACTGAAAAATTCACGTGTAGCTACAAAACATAAAAGAAATTGCTAGAGTCAGAGTACGTGGGCTCCCTCTGCTGCCACCGTTGCTGCTGCTAGTGGATCCACTGCCGAGTAGTAGTAATGTGGCACTGCTTTCCAAAGACAGGCCAGACCACGGAGTTTGCCAGCTGGAAAAGGATGGAGCCACGAGGGAAACAAATTTTGCTTTCTAACTTCCAAAAGCGAGTGTGTTTCATAGTTAAAGTGAAAGCCATGAGGTGGAATTAAAGGGACAACTTGAGCTAAATATAAGGAGAATGAATCATCTCCCAAACGAAGTGGTGGAAGCACCTAAATGACATGGGACTAGATGGGAGGTAATCGCTGGGCACTGAGGGAAGGGTTAGATGACTGGTGCAAGCCACTTCTAATGTCTGCAGTTCTAGAAGAACGCTTAGCCATGTCCCTGTCTCTCGCCCCTCTGCACACGCACTGCTCTGACGCTCTTCATTTCTGTGCTCAAGCTGCTGCATTAATGCCAACGCATTCATTGTAGCCATCCGTTATCTCCATACCCACAGTGCCATCTCTTTGAACAGGATGGATTCACGTTCTCCAGGAGCTCATGGGTGTGGGGAGGAATAGGAATAGGTACGTCCCAGGGGGCTGGTAGTCTGTATCCGCTCTGCTCATAGAGAACTCCCCATAACCTGCTTGAGAAGCGGCTTTGGTGTGAGCAGATCCTCTCTGAATCTGTATCCATGCTTGGAGTAGTAGGTCCAGGCCAGTGTTCAGAGCAAGGCAGTGGGAGTCAGGATTCCTGGGTTCCCTTCCCTTCTACACCAGTGACTCACTGGGTCACCATCAGCATGTTACTTCCCCGCTCACTTCCTGATCTTTAAAGTAGGGCAGTATCTGCTGCTTATCACCAGGGGCTGTTGTTGAGGGTTCGTTAATATTTGTAAAGTGCTTTGAGAACTTCCCATGCCAGGAGCTTATAGAAAGGCAGAACATGACCTTCCCACCCATGAGATGATGCTTCCAAATCCCAGAGATACCCCTTAGAGAAGGGGCAGCAAAGTGATGGGTCTCTTAAGAGGATGGGAGCTGTTTGGGTGGCCAAGCTGTACTTTGTGCCTCTGTCCAAGCCAGAAGCTTGCAGTTTGTCCTGTAGGACTGGCGACTAGAGACGTTGCACAAAGCTAGTGCAAGTGGGGTGCTCACATGTTCTCTCTCCTGTTAATTGCAGGGGATAGTTGTGGATGTTCCCTTTGCTTCCTTCTTCTTGAGTCAGCTGCTTGGGCACCGTCACAGTAGCTTCTACAGCTCTGTGGATGAACTTCCCTCTCTGGACTCCGAGTTCTACAAAAACCTCACCTCGATTAAGGTTTGACCAATATGTTTCCCACGTCCCCACTTCACTGTAACGTGCTGCTCAGAGGTCTAAATGATGATGCCAGCAAGGGTGGATGAAAACTTTTTGCCTGCCAGGTTAATTCCAAAAGCCCTTTTAAATGAGGTAGTGCGTCCTAATGGCTAGAGCCCTGGACTGGGATTTGGGAGAGTTGCATTCTGTTCCCGGTTCTGCCACAGCCTGCTGGGTGACCTTGGGCAAGTCACAGCCCTGCTCTGTGCCTCAGTTTCCCCGTCGGTAAACTGGGGATAATGAGTGACTTCCTTTGTAAAGCGTATTGAGATCTGTGAATGAGCATCTGTATAGGAGCTGCGTATTAATAATGTCTCCAGACACTAAAACACTTGGTTCCTCCTGTGTTGAGGAGAGGGATTTCTCTGTCTGGCTGCTGTTAGAAATATCAGGCTTGCTGTGTCTAGTAAAAGTCCCCTTCCGGTGAGCCAATGCTCACGTTAGCTATGAAAATACTTGCGCTTGTAGGAGTGAACGTTGAGTCTAAAAGTAGGTGGCAGTGGAGGGTTTGGGATTTCTTGCTCCGTGTAAAGCAGGGAGGGGAAGGTGCTCTAGTGATCTAAACTCAGGATTGGGAGCCAGGAATTCCTGCCTTCTAGTCCCAGCTCATATGCTGATGCCCTCTGTTACCTTGAGACGGTCACATATCCTCTCTGCCTCAGTGTAGAGCACCTGCGAGGATCCCTTACAGGGTGAGTGGTCTGTAAGTGCTAAGCTGGTGTTCTCAGTGGTTGTGCATTGACCCCCGTTCATCTCCTCTGTCATTCCATTAGCGCTACGACGGAGATATCAGCGACTTGGGCTTAACGCTCTCCTATGACGAAGATGTGATGGGTCAGGTAGGCCATGCACGTCTTTGTGCTAGTTTCCCCTTCATATTTAGCCTCCTTTCTGCTCCTCTCTTTCTTTCTATTAATTTCCTCAGACCTGCTCAGAGTTACAAGCAGGTTTCTGTGCTCAGGCAGCCTGTTTCCTTGGTGATCGGGATAGGAGATTTCAAGCCTTTTGTTGTAAATTTCTAGCAGCTCTCCTGAGTGAGTGACTCCAGCTCACCTGGTGTGTTCTGCCTGCCTGTCCGATGTTTCCAGGGAGAGGTTTCAATTGGAACCAGATCTGGTGATCCAAACACATCACTGTCCATTACTGTGGAAAAGCCTCTGGTGCCCCAAATAGAGGATTATGAATTCAGGCATTCCTCAGTGTGGGTCAGACTGGCTCCTGAGGAATTATGTTCTTATTTTCCTATAGTGTCTTGTGCAAGACAGAGGAAAGAAACCCACGTACAAGCTGACCTGCTGGCAGAATACACTCTACATGGAATATTCTCAGTGTTTTCCCAAGAGGTGTTTGTGATTGTCTAGAATCAACCACTTTTTCCAAGTTTTGTTTGCTTGATGACATGAGGTGCTCTTTATTCTGTTATACTTCTCCTTTGGATTCTTACAGGCCGTTTCAGATCTGTAATGCAGATACTCCAAAGGAGTCGCGTTCAGTTGCTTCTAAATTTGTTAGCCTTGTACTTTTATGGCTGAAATATGGCAGGCTTGTTCCCGGTCTGAAAGTGAATTGTTTTGGGAAGTGTGATCCAGAAGGATTCCCCCAGTTTGAAGAAACAAGCGAGTGGAAAAAGAGACTTTTTCCTTCGTCTACTTTTTATTTAGCAAGTTTTTGGTGGAAAGTTGAAATTTGGCAGGGAGATGGTGGTCATTAGGTTGCACCTATGCCTTTGGGTGGTTTGTTGAAAACTGGCTATAATATCAGTTGTTACAAGTTTTCGGGTTTTTTTTAATCACTTTGAACATGTGCACTGGATTTTGTAATGCGGCTTCTTACTGGACTGCCAGTGGTGCAGTGATGCTGCCCGCCATGTTTAGCTTAGTAACATTCATTGACAATACTTTGCCTTTCCCTATGATTAGTGAAGGGGAATGGAGAGGAAGCAGGACTGCAAAGCAGGCTTGCTCCTTTGCTGTGAGAGAAGGTAGATGGGCGCATGCAGAAGGAGGTGGGCGCTGTTCCTTCAGCCTACTATGGAAAGGTGTGCATGGCAGGAGGCCTGGTGTGCCTGTTGTATAGTACAGAGTGCTCTGCTGCTGCCTAGCAAATATTTGAACATGATTGAATTTTTTAATTTGTTTTTTCTTATTTTAAAAAGTAGGAAATGCCATACAAAATCCCTACATTAAATGAACCTAAGGTTGCAAAGTAAAGTATTTGGAAGTCAGAAACAACAAAGTTGAGGCCCAATCTAAAGCCCCCTTGTTTGAATGCATTATAGTAAAGTTTTATGACATGATCTTTTAGCATGTTTTTTTCCACCGGACCCAGGCCTCATTCACTTTGCACGTTGGACAGAGAACAAGGCAGGGTGTTTCATGAATCCATCTGGGGTCCTGAGATCTTTGCCTCATTCTCTGCCGTTGTGTGATGTGTTGTGAATGAGACTGGTATCTGCTGGAAGAGGGATGATGTTCTTGAAGTTAAAGCCCTGGACTGGGAGCCAGGAGGATCTGGTTCTTTCCTTTTGCCACACTCCCAGTGTGACATTGGGCAAGTCCCTTATTCACTCTCTGCCTTCATTCCCCATGTGTAATATGGGAATAATATTTCCCTACCTCCCAGGGGTGTGACCAGGATAAATTCTTTAGTGTATGTGAAGCACCCAGATGCTACGGTGATGAGCCTAAAGAGAAAGGAATGTCCCTCTTTTGTCCTCTGCCCGGTGTGCAGTAAACCAGGCATAGGACCATGCAGTGACTATGGAAGGTAAAAAATGCTGATCGGCAGCCTTGTTCATGGAACCCTTTCCATCCTGTGCCTTGACTGCCCAATCTAAAGCCCATCAAACTCAATAGGAGTCTTTTTATTAACTTCCCTGGGTTTTGGATCAGGGCCTGAATGAGAGGAGGGACCTGCAGAAGAATTTGTGATCATAATTACAGACTGGACTGGGAGGAGCCAGAATTAAGGTGGCCCATTTCCTGGCTTTTGATGGCTTCGCTTTTCACCGTAAGGTTCTTTGACTGTGTTTTGTATGGAATGCGCATGGTAGATGGTAATGGAGGAAAGGTGACAAGCCGGCTCCATCGGCCAATTCCCTACTGTTCAGTTGCTGTGCTCGTATTGAATGGAAACACTGATTGGGAGTAGAAACGGGATTATTATTTAACATTTAAATCCTAACGTTTTATTGTAAAAGTAAGTAATTATTTGATGGTAAATTCCAGCTTCTGAAAGGCTTCTCCATCCAGTGAAGTTTTCAGGCAGTAATTAGCAATATCATGATTTCTTCCCTCAGCTTGTTTGCCATGAGCTTATTCCTGGAGGGAAGACCATTCCTGTTACCAATGAAAATAAGTAAGTATGGCAATTAGATTTGTAAGGTCACCACTGTAAAATACTTCATTCTGGTTCCTTGGGCTTGCATCTGGAATAGATTGAGATGGATTGGAGTAGAAAGAGCCCATAAATATCTTAATAGAATTTACTGGTTACACTTCATCGGCAGAAATTGTATTCAATTCGATTTGCAAAATAAGAATTGACAATTTACTTTTTGAAACAGCACTTCTGAGGTCAAAGACACACAGTTCGTGATATTCGTAGGGATTTAATGATGGTTATAGATACAGACAGATGGATTCAAAGCAATTCAGGCACACGGTCTTGAGCACAGAGGGCACAGCTGCTCAAAGACACCTTGGAGCAGACCGATTCTCTCAGAATGATAGCATGTGGCAGTTGTATAAAACGCTGTTCTTCAGAAGACATGGTGATGAATTCAAATGCAGTAGACAGTGGTGCTTAGACACAGGAAATCAGAGGAGATGCTGAGCCCTGGAGCTATTTTCACAGATAACCAGCTTCAGATAGTTGTCATAAATGTCAGCTGTGAAAGCCTAAAAACTAAGCCCCCCCACCTCTTTTGTTCCCCAATCCCCATCCCCCTTCACCGATTAGATCTCTATTATGCAGATGCGTGTCTAAACTCTTAATCTACAGCAAGTCAGGGCTGTGTCCAACCTGAAGACTCATCTGCCTCGGCTGTACTTTACAATTGCGTGTCCCCAATCTTTGTCTTCCTCTGAGATCAAATCAGTGAGTTTCCATTTGAAAGGAATATCTTTTTGCTTGTCAGAAGGCTGGTCAGGAAGAAAGTCGAAAGTCCCATGTGTCACTCTGCTCACTACACACGTAATTTTGAACAAACACACTGAGGCAGCTGGGGAAAGAAAACTGGAAAAAAAAAATGCAATAATGGAGGCAATCCAGAACTGTTCTTGTTATAGATGTCGAGTTAGCTTGGGTTAGAAACGTCACCAGGTTAGGAGGGTTGGTGTCTAATGTGGGCGGGTGAGGGAATGTAAGTAAAATAGCTGGATGGATGGATGGATATCTGCAGAGATTGTATTTCTCGGGGTTCTGACAGACCCCCCCCCACCTTCACTAACTACTGCATCTCGGAAAACTCCTGTTTCAAGATATTGCTAAATCTGGATCCCTTGGACTCCAGATGAGGGCTCTCCAAAGCAGTCTATATTTGTCCTATGAGTCTCTTGTGGAATCTACAATGCTTGTAGGAAAATTGTTTTTATGAAAAATAAACCTAGTAGTTCTAAGGAGCTATTTAACAGCAGCTAGATGATATATGGCCAGTGCTTTGACCATGTGCATATTGTAAGCGCTCAGCATTATTGGAAGCCCTGTGTCAGTGTTGAGAAGGGCTGTCAGACCCCGACAGGATGGGGAAAACAGCTGCTGTCAGACCTTACAAATACCCTGCTTCTGCAGGGTTTGCACAGACACCCGGATGAAACGATTTTGGGTGTCAGTCGTTTGGCTGAAAGAATTGTGGAGAGTTCTGTACAAAAGCTGAGTTGGAGAAGTCTCCGTCTTTGCGTGCCCGCTCACCCGTAGGAGTGAAATGTGCTCTAGGAACCTGACCGACCACCCATTGAAGTCAATGGTCGTGAGTCTTTCCATCGACTTCAGTGAGCTCCGGATCAGGTCCCGCGTTCCTTTTAAGCAGTGCATTGTAAACTAGAAAAGTGCCAGGCCAGTGGTAGTGTGCTGGGTGTTCTCAACTGCTTGGTGCCTCTGATTTCCCCTCCTTACCTTGGACAGAATCAGCTACATCCATCTCATGGCTCATTTTCGGATGCACACGCAGATAAAAAGTCAGACGGCAGCGCTCATTAGTGGCTTCAGGTCGATAATAAAGCCCGAATGGATTCGGATGTTTTCTGCACCTGAGTTACAGCGGCTCATATCTGGTGACAATGCTGAAATTGACCTAGAGGACTTAAAGTAAGTGAGTGATTCAGTCACCTGGTTCTGCTATCCAACAGGCCACTTATGCTGTTAAATAGCAATGTTATTCTGCGGTTTGGTGCATGGAAATTAACTCCAGTCCAGCCTTTTATTAACTTCTTCAAATTAAAAGGCAAGGGACAAACTGGATGTCATTTCAAACAAGACTGGAGGAAGTACTAGCAAACAGAACAAGGGAAGAGTCTTTCCCAGGGGCCAGTACAGGACTGTAGGATTAAAGAGGGACTTTCATTTTACCCTCTCCAATGCTTTTGAAGAAGTTTGCAGTAAATGGTGGATGTAGGCTTCAGGGAACACTAGCAATTCAAGCCCCCTTTGTGATTAAGCTGTGGATTTAAGCTCTGTCTAGAGCGAGATGCAGCCATTCATTAAGCAGGAAGCTGTGATTTGTTTGGCGCAGTGAAGCGTAAGCATATTGCATTCTGTCCTTCCTCAGGAAACACACCGTGTACTATGGCGGCTTCCATGGGAGTCACAGGGTCATTATCTGGCTCTGGGACATCCTAGCCAATGACTTCAGCCCTGAGGAGAGAGCGATGTTTCTAAAGGTAAATGTCTCCTAGCTCCGCTCCTGATAGAGTGCACCCGACCTGTCGCCTTGGGGGGGGCGGGGCGCTGGTCATCTTTCCATTATCATCCAGACAAGCAAAACTGCTCTTTGTGCTCATAAACCCCTTCTCTGAGGCCTTGTCTACACTACTGCGGTAAGTCGACTCAAGTTACGCTACTCCAGTTACATGAATAGAGATGCTCCCTTACTCTTCTCGTTCGGGTGGAGTACCGGAGTCAGCCGGAGAGCGCTCTGCCGTCGATAGAGCAGGTCTTCATTAGACCTGCTCTATCGACTCCCACTGCATCGATTGCAGGCCATCTACCGGTAAGTGTAGACATGGCCTGAGTGGCAGAGAGAACAATGAAAGGCCTGAGCCCTGGAGTTCTGACTCCTCTTCCCCCACCCCTCCACACAAACACAGTGGAAGGAGGGATCCTTTAAATGATTTTGTATTGCGGAGAATATCCCTGCTTAGGTATCGCCACTTGTCTCGGGAGGAACGACTGATGAGGAGCCGCTGTAACCTGTGGTGGGGAATGAGTGCTGCAGACATCAACTCCCAGAGTAGCTTCAATGCAATTTATCATTAGAACAGTCAGTCGAATGGTGCAGGGCAATGAGCAAACAGTTCCTTTAGAAGACACGTCTGGTTTTAGTTTCCAAGCCGTGTTGCTCTAACGATCAACGATTGTCAGTCTTTAACCATGTCTGTTTTAGTTTGTTACCAGCTGCTCCCGGCCTCCGCTTCTGGGCTTTGCCTACCTCAAGCCTCCTTTCTCCATCCGCTGCGTAGAAGTCTCAGACGATCAGGTACGCAGCCAGAATGGATCTGAACAGCGCTTCTCCAACCTTTATGCATTTGAGATCCCCTCCTGAGGCCTTTTACAGAGCTCCTCCCATCCCTGCCCTGCTTCCACCCCTTCCCTGCAGCAACTAGAAAGCTCCAGTGCATAGAAAGTGTCCTTCAGACAGCGTTCAGGAGACAAGATGAAAACATACTCACTTTAATGTGGTGCACTCAGCTCCCCCCCACGCCCTTTCGTGCCCGTGCCTCTGTTGCCTGCCTGCAGGTTAGTACCTCCCCTTGTGGTCTGCAGCCGCTCTGGGTCACTTGACTTTGGTGCTCGCCTCCTGAGTCTTTGCTACTGTTGGGTTTTGTGTCCTCTGCAGGTCAAACATGGGTGAATTTTCACCAAGGAGAAGTTGCCCCTTAGTGCTAGATGGGGCCCTGAGAGACAGGATTACTGGGTTCTGATTCCCCCTGCTTCCGCCACGGGCTTACTGTGTATTAGTCTCCCTGCCTTGGTGTCAGGACAATGCCTCCCTCCTTAATGCTGTGACTCGCTGCACGGTGCTCTGCCAGAGTGCGCTAGAGCAGTGCAAGGTAACGTGCCTCTCCCTCTGTTCCCAGGACACTGGCGATACGCTGGGCAGCGTGCTAAGGGGCTTCTTCACCATACGCAAGAAAGAGCCAGGCGGCCGGCTCCCCACCTCTTCTACTTGTTTTAACCTGCTCAAGCTTCCCAACTACAGCAAGAAGAGCATCTTGCGAGAGAAGCTGCGCTATGCCATCAGCATGAACACAGGCTTTGAGCTCTCGTAGCTGCTTTGGCACCTGGGGTCGGCTCCAAGGGCCACTGGCTGGTGCTGGACACACGGCCCTTCGTGCAAAGCGGGTGGGTCAGCTCCAAGACAAATATATGCAAATGGTATTAGAGGTTCACAGGGAGAGCTCCTGGGCTAGGCAGCTGTGGGATCTGCCTAAGCTCTCCTGCAGCACTAGGGAAGTGCTGGGTCGGATCCAATACACTTGTCGTCATGTAAACTGTTATTTAAAATCAAACCCGGGGAGAGCATTAAAGTAGCATTGAAAACCCCAGTCTGGATCCGGCAGCCAGCGGGCCTGGGCCATGATGTGGAGTCCAAGTTAGCTGCTGTCGTGCGGGAGGGTTTTTTTCCTTTCCTAGGAGATGGCCCAGCTTTTTCTTTGGGTGGAGGCCATTCGAAGTAAGGCGATGGTGGAAATGTTACTGAAGTACTAGGAGGCTAGTTGGCAGTCAGCTGCATTGAATGTGCGTGTTTCCTTAGTCCCTTGGCTCTGGTAAAGCTTTGCAGTGATGACGTTCTGAGGTCCCGTGCACCAGGCAAGGCCGGCGTGCTCATCTCCCGTGAAAACAAACAGCTTGCCCGAGTGTAGGAGCAACAGCCAACACTGGCAGAAGAATCAACCCTCCGCTCTCAAGGACTGTTTCAAAGTGCTGTAGAATAGGAGCTCAAAGAACCGGCACGGAGGCTGGAATGCAGAGTCAGTCGCACCTCTGCTGGCTCCTTGCCAGTTCTGCATGTTGGAGGAGAGGGACCACTTTCTGCTTTTAAGCAAATCAGAACAAGGTTTAACTTTATTTTACTTTCATCTTACAAGTGACCGGGAAGCACAGTGGCACTTGTATAGCGTTCGACTCTGTCAGTGTCATTAAATGCATCTTCTATAGTCATCTTTAATGCTTTGAATGCATCAAGCTGCCAACAGCCTGTTTTAAAACGCCTCAGCTGGGAAGTTCGCCTCTTGCTCGGAGATGTAAATTTCATATTTAAGTTTACCTTCTCTCTCCCTTATGGAGGTCTCTGCTTTAGCCCATTTGCAACCCATACTTGGCCTCTCCAAAGCCCAGTGATGTTTGCTTGCCAAACTATTTATTTGTAATATTTTGGGCCTTATTTTATTAGCTTATGCTCACCTGCTGCATTCAGCATTTTAGCTGGTGGTTATGAAGAGTCTTTTTCGGGGGGTGGGGGGGGGGGGGGGAGAGGGGTGTGTGTGTGGGGGGTTCGCACATGCTGGCTATTTCCACTTCTTTTCTAATGACGAAATGTAGAGACTGTCCTGTCAAACCTCTTTTAAGCCTGCTGCTTTGCACCTCTGATATTTTACAGCCAGAGTGGATCCTGTCTCAGCCCAGCAGTTCTCCATGTTCCATCGAGAAAGGACACTGCTTTCTCTCAGGTGTTCCCTTGTGCTGCGTGGAGTTCTGGAAAGCACAGTATGCTCTAATGTTCAGGAACATCATGATTTTTATTTAACTTCTTCACTCTGCCTATTGCGACCTAGCTAATAAAAGGAGCTCGTGCCAAGGCTGCCAGCTTCCCCCCTCGCCTTCCTTTCCTCTTCTTAGCATTTGAGGGGGGGTGTGTTTGTGGTTTTAACAGATCCTACTCTCTGCAATACCTAGGCGGATCCAACGAAAGCATCGCTGTGCGAGTCACCCAGCAGCAGATGCTACAATGCAAGGCTACCTCATCTTCAGGATCTTTTCAATAGGTATGAATGGTAGGGAATCCAAACCCAGGCGTGTTTTGCATAGCACAAGTCTCAGCACCGGAATGGTCCCCAGGGTGTTGGGCAGGCCTTCTGAATCCTTGGTGAGAGACAGGAAGTAGAAAGCAGACCAGAAAATGCTCTCAGCCGGAACCCCTCAAACAAGAGCATCCGAATGCCCGTCATGTTTTCTGTTCTCTCATTTTAATCGACAGGGAATTTCAAGGAAATAAGCCTTCTCTACTTGAGAACTGTTGCTGGAAAATGCATCTCAAATCCTCCTATGTTAGGGACCTTTTCTGTGTGAACTCTATTCTGTAGGAATGAACTGATCTATTAATGAAGGAAGAAGCATCTGCTAAGTTGAGTGAATACGGAGAATTTATAGAGAGCAGTAAACACCGTTTTTGATTTTGTGTAAGTGATCACTTAACACTTGTTAACCATCGTATAGACTGAAAGGCCATGACACTGACCTGTAACAGTTTATTTTAGCTTAAGATCTGACACAATATCTTTTTTCTTAGATAAATGCAGTGTCCAGTTAGATCACAAGCCTGAAATTGTTTATTAAACAACAAATTTCTGCTCCCCTTTAAGTTTCCTTTAAAAGTTTGGAAATATTGCACTATACGAGACACTAAATCTATAATTTTGTAGCTAGTGTATCAATTGTGATTGTGTGATAAACTCCACACACCCTGATGGCTATATGGATAACAGCATTTCTCATAAGTAACTGATTTCTGTATGACTTTGAGAGGCTCTGTTATATTTGTATTGAGTAGAAGGCTATGAATATGTGACAAACCCTGCCCTGGGTGTCTGTACTTTGCATGTATGTTCTGTGTGGGGAGGGGAAAGTTTTTTGCTATAGGAGATTAATGAGTTTATTTTTTCTATAGATAAGATTTGATGGTCCTGAGATCCTGGCACATCCTATGTGTCAAAAATGCAGAAAGATATTAAATAAACCTGACGTGCTGAATAAGACCGTTGGGGACTTTTCTTTCTTTGGGGGCAGACCTCTCTTATGTCAGAGCAGTGCTCCAGCAAATATCCTTCTCTGCTTGGGGCAAAGGCAGATGTTTTATAGACACGGGCACACTTGCCATGAGATCTGATGCTGGTGGAGGTTGTGGGGGCAAGAGAGAGAAAGCAGAATCAAGGCACTGATTCCATTTTTAAGACTGGGTCAGAGGCAGATGAATGCCCATGTTCACACAGGGAGTCTGTGGTTGCTGGGGCAGGTGACCCATTCAGATCATGTGCTGTTAGAAATGAATGGAACCAGAGTGTTTTCAGAGGACTTCAAGGTATATAATTGTTCCCCCAACAGACTAGTGATCATGGGGAGTTGCCTACTGCCTTCACGGTGCAGTGAACAACAGGGAATACTTGAAAGGTACCAATTGCTTTTACGCTAGGGTGACCAGATGTCCCGACTTTATAGGGACAGTCCTGATTTTTGGGTCTTTTCCTTATATAGTCTCCTATTACCCCCGCACCCCATCCTGATTTTTCACACTTGTTGTCTGGTCACCCTATTTTACACTGCCTAATTCCTCTTGCCTGGCTCTGAACAGCCTTGGTTTGAGAGAGAGAGAACAGCTGCTCCGCGTTTCATACCATATATTTAAAAATATTAGTAGTTTGATGTATAATTTTTGGCCCACTAGGTGGCAGTGTGTGAAAGCTACACAGCTTTTCATTTATGCGCCTTACCAAGAGTCCCCAAGAGCTGTTCTAAGGCTCCTTTTCCTTTGCTCTTCACTGCCATAGTATGATACAGCACAAACAAACCCCTTGGCTATTGCTAACTGCACTGCACTCAGTCCTAAGCACTGAGCTAACCTGGCGCCCGGGAACACTTGCTCCGTTTGGGGGTGAGGCAGGGCAGAAATTGGAAAGAGGGCTGAGTCTGTGTGCAAATGGTATTGTTTTGACATTATGGCATATGGCACAGTAAGAAATTGCAAAAAGGACACCCACAGCAGATGCTCCAGTGGCTTCAAAGGCAGAGAGCTGGCAAGAAACAGCCATGCCTGGAGCAAAACTATTGCTTGTCTGTCATTGCCGCGTAGGCCAGAGATCTGCAGGCCTGCGAGCACCAGCACCAACCCATGTTGCGTTTCATGCCTCGTCGGCCACAATACCACGTGTTGATAGTGTCCCTTATTTGACTCACTTACCTTTGACTCTGCTCTGGCCCTCATCACTCCAATAGCTGGGCACTTCACAATCGATCCCCATGTAACCGGGAAACTGAGGCGCGGCGAAGTGACTTGCCTATGGTTACACAGTGAGTCTCTGGCAGTGCCAGGAACTGAACTGACCCCAGTGCCCTGACTCCAATGTGTACAACCATCCTTCCTCTCTTTAAAAGATCCCCAACCGCTTTATAAACTCACGACCCTCCACTGAAACAGCAACTGGCTAACACTGCCCAGCAGCACTTCAGCACAGGTTAGTACAGGCAATGAGGAATCCTGTAACTAATTGAAACATCCAGAGGGACAGCTGTCAATGGAATGAATATCCACCTTGGATACTGGCCAAGACAGTGGGGTTAATGCCTGGACTGTTACAAATAAGACCAGTGGATTTTTAATGACCACAAGTGGTAAAGGAAAAATCAGCAGCACAGCCTCCACCGTGCCTGGTCGTTTAGACAAATTTGGACGGGAAACCAGGCTAACCACTGGAACAACTTCTCGAGGGCTGTGGTGGAATTTCCATCACTGGATATTTATAAATGAAGATTGGCTGTTTTTCCTAGACGATACGCTCTAGTTCAATCCCAGCTATTGGACTTCAAGCAGGGAGGCCGGAGGACTTCCCTGAATTATGCAGGAAGTCGGACTCGATCACAGTGGTCCCTTCTGGCCTTAAAAATCTATGGACAGACCGTTTTGTAAAATGGTCCCTGTCACTCAAAAGGGTAGAAGCCACACATCCCTATTCTAGAACCCAAACACATCCAAGCTGAAATGGGCACATCCTCCATTGCTGTACAAGTGGGGGGTGCAGTGACGAAAAGACCCCATGATGTGGCCTCCATCGATCTACTCCTGTGAGTCCCAACCTTTTCTGGGGGGGAGCGCGGAGCAGGGGGGCTTGGACTTTGGCCAGTGTCCGGGGGCCCTCATGCTGTGACTACCTTTTCCTCTCTTTCTTGTTTTTCATCTCCATTCTTTCCCCTCATTTTTGCTTTCTGTTCCCTTCCTGTTGCTTCCCCCACTCCCTGGCAGGCTCCCTGCTGCTCGGCATTGGGGCACCAATTGTTGGCTCAGGGATGTGCTCTCGGAGCTGAGCTTTGCTGGGGAAGCAGATGCCCGAGGCTTGGCCCAGCGAGCTGCTCCCGGAGCTGGTAGCCCTGGGTGCGTGAGTTGCTGCCATGACTGTATTCCAGCTAGCGTGGGTCAAAAAGCACAATTTCCATGCTGTGAAATTCCAACACTTTGTAACGTTATTTCGTCCCACACTGGGACAAAAAATCAGAACTTTGAAATTTCCCACGAAACTAAATTTCAACAGAAGTTGAGTTTTGGAAATATCCAAAGGACCTTGTTGCAGTGCTTTGTTTTAGTGTTTCGACTTTTATCTGTATATTATCTGCCTTATCAAATCAAAACACAGTGCTTGGACCTAGTCTAAAGGAATGTTTCAATGGTATTTTGTCGACAAAAGGGACAAGCTATATATTGCCATGAAATATTTCCATTTTATGGAATCAGCACACCGTTCAGCTGGAAAATATTCAACCAGCTGTAGTTCCAGTTGCCGCATTAGGGCGTTCCTGCCGTGGGGGCAGGGAGGGAAGGTAAATTGCAAAGAGCTATCCAGATTAGCACCTGTGCAATGTCGAGTGAAAGTGGATCCAGGGTGATGCCGCTTTCCCCTCCCCATACATTGCTTGTCTCTTCTGACCTGAACCTCCCGTGGACTAGTCTGCTGCTCCTGCTTGGCCCATAGATCAGTAATCCCCATGCCATTTTGCTTAGCCTAATTTTTCTGTATGCTGGTGGGTCTCATGGGATTGACTTACTCTGCTGCGTTTCACTTGCAATGTATTTTCCTTGTTGCCTATAGTGCTCAGCCTGTGGCGCTAATGACAACCAAACGTGCACTCAAAATATGAAGTTGGTTAAGAGGCATTTAAAGTTAAGGTGACTCTGTAGTATCCAGCCTAGAGCTTGGTTATTCTGTCCTATGTGGCCCCGTTATGTGTCTCTCAGCTTCCCCATGGCTCTTTGCGGCCAGTTCCTTGCTGCATTGAAGAGTTGAAGCCTAGCCATGTAATCCCCTGCAACTTAATTTTAGCTTTGCTCACTTTGTCCAGGAATGTAATTATGACTTTTGAATTACATTAGCAGCTTGCACGGAGTAATTAATTAGTCAGATTTATAAGGCGCTTGGTTCATAATGATATATGGCCCTGCTTGGGTAAGTGGCACCTCAAATTGGC